GGGGGGGGGGGAGAGGGGACGGAAAAGAAGGGAGTTAGGTGTCAGCCCGTCGGGGGAGGAGTATGTTATATTTTCTTGGCCGGAAATCGTGCGATCCATTTGTGCAACCCGCGTTTTTTTCTTGCCGTGAAATCGAGCAAGAAATGGCGTGGCCATTGTCGTCGCGTTCAAAAACTTGTTTACCGTTAGTTTTCAACTATTTCATAGCAGAAGGATTTTGTGACCGTAGTGCTCAGTTTCTAGTGAACGGTTTTTAAAAAAATTGTTACAGCAACAGACAGCAGCGGAATTCAAGCTATTTGGTTATAAGTGAAGAGCGAAGGTAAAGAGAAAGAAGAAAACGGCAGGGAGCAAAGAATTAACAGGCTAAGAACTAGCGAAGACGATTTATGTGAAAAATTTATGCAGCATCTGAGACGGCTTGTTTACTGATAGGTGACGCTGACAGAGTTTTGTGTCATCTTATTATGTTTTTTAAAACATAAAATGGTTTGCCACGTTTTTCGAGAATTACCTTTAGAGTAAATAAAAGCATTAGAACTAGAACCACTACGTGGAACTTACCGGGGCCCAGTGGGACACGGGATTGCATAGATATAGTTTACCTCTCGCACCCCTTCCCCCTTCTCTGTGGAGGCTAATACTTAGTCTGAATTAACTCATGCAGAAGAAAAGCAACAAAATGCATGAGAAAGGAGGATGTTGTTGTAAGTTTGTTCAGTGTTATGACAGCTAACGGTCTGTGTTATAGTAGTGTTTTTACACTGTGATGTCAATAAGAGTGATCTGTATAAGGTTTTTATTTGTTTTTAAGTTTGAGTGAAAAAGCAAAAAACACTGACAGTTTTGGGTTGAATGGTAATGACAAAGTTTGCAAAGAAGTTTGTTACAGAATTATCACAATTTCACATTTTCTCCAGTACGTTATCGTCAGGTTTATAATTGAGATTTATTAATCACATTTATCTATTTTTTGCGAAAACACTGTGAATTTGAAATGATAACAGACATAAGAAATTTTTGAAATAGACCTTTGTGGTCATGGATTGTTGTCTTGCACTGTAAAAAATGTCATCCAGTGTTCTATATGGACATAATAAAATGCTTATTTATTGATGACTGAGTATCATCTGTTAATTCATTGCACATTGAAATGGAGGCATTTGATTGTAAGGCAGTGGTTGATACATAGTGGCATTCATCAATATGACGTGATATGACCTATAGTAATTGTAGAGGAAGTATTTCTTTCCTGAACTGGGTAAACAGCAGTAAGTGGTGCAAAGCATTGATTAGATTCTACTATTTGTATAGTAACATTTAATGCATCTGCAACTGCTTGAATGATAAGTGCATCACCCCATGTACCTTGAATACACATATTATTCAGATATCTTAGCCATGAATTTTCGG